GCTTTTGAATACAGATTAAAGCGGCAAATGTCCTGCTGCAGCTCTCTCTCTCTTTCTCTATCTCTCTCACACTCACTGTCTTTTTGGCTGTCTCCCCGTGGACTGCAGATTAACCGCATAAATCAGTAAATCAAATGCAGCAGTTTAACAATAATGCAAGCATTATGTAGGCCCCTCCCTCCCTCCCCCCAGGCCGCCGCTGAGCAGCCCGCGGGCGCTTTTGCCCAACGGCACTAAATGTCCAGGCATATAAATGACATGCAGATTCACTTTACTTAGTTGCCTGGGCCACTGCAGCGTTTGCAAAGCTTTTGAGTTACTAATTAGATTCAGATAGGCATCTCCCACCCACCCCTCCCCCTGTCCACAGGCTTACACAGCAGCCTGCCACGCCCATCAACAACCTGGGCGGGCAATTGAACGCCCGCAGCTGCATCCCTTGCTCAAGTCTAATTTAATTTACTATGCAATTCTGTTGCTGTTGTTGCTGTTGCTTTTGTTGTCATTGCAAAATTAATTTTCTCATGATTTAGTTGGCATTTGTGGTTTTGATTTTGCGGTTGAGTGGCCTTTAAAGGACTTTAGCCACGTAAATGGACATCAAAAAAACGTTAATTAGCGCAAAATATTACGCATACGTAATGTGCGCCCGACAATTTGATGTTGCCGTAGACTGGGTGAGTTAACCCCTGAGAACTGCGCACATGCAATGCCAGTTAGGCATATAAACATATAGGCAAATGTAGGCCATGTCAATTTATATGTTATACATATATATATAAATCCAACTGCTACGTGTAATTTAATGTGTACCCAAGTAGAGCTCAGCCTTCGCTTGGTTTATGCGTCCCGATTTTATGAATAGAGCTAAGAACGTGCAATTATGTAAAAGTTATTGTGAACAACTGAGAAATCTTATTATACAAAATGTCATTATATAAAATAACACCGAGCACTTTTATGAATTCTGCTTACAACTTTGAGAAAAAATAGTTCATAATTTCTTGCAGAATTTCTAAACTTGTTATTGCATTCTGTCTCTTGCTTCTGTAAACTCTTTACATATCTTTATATATGGACTATTTATGGTGGCTGCCAACTTGTTGGCCGTCTTTTTACTTTACCAACTTTATTGTCATAACTAGCATAAATTGTGAAAATTGACAAATATTTCAGAAAATGACCCGCTTTTGACCTGCTTTCTTTTGTCTCCTTATCAGCTTCATAGCCTGTTTATTTAATTCTTTACTATAAAAAGTCAGCAAAGCAACGTTCATAATCAAAATTCTTGTCTTAATAATTAAAGCTGAAATTTTAGCTTCAGCTTCTCTTTGGGTTGAAAGTGATCACAAAGCAACAGCCACGAAGAGCAGTCATGAAATCGAACCTTGCAAACCTGCGTGCATAAGAGGTCTGAGCGTCGGACTAGCATGCAGCAAGTCGCCGGCTCAAATGCTGCACTGACGCGTGGGTGACTTGATATTTGCCGAACTAAACAAACAATTTAGGAACCACAGTGAAAACCCTCTTGGGCGAACAGCAAACCCGGCTGTTGTAAAACAGAAGAGAAATGATTATAGCCTAACTCTCAATGGTTTGAGAGAGTTGTGTCAGCCTAATAGGGCTGTATAGCTATACTGTACTTGCATATTCAACATTATTAGTTTTGTAACGCGCAACGCCGGGCTATTTTCGCCATGTCTATTAAACATCTTTAAGCCTTGGCACATATTTGCTGCTCAATCCCAGAACTTGTTTTGCGATCGCCACGCTGCATAAACCAACCGCCAAGTACCCCCAGCCAGTTACCCACGACCCATAGACACCCCTCCCCCCTCTGTTCCAACCCTCTTTGCCCATAGGAGCGGTCGCATGTAGCTTACTGTGGTTCCCCGTTTAGCTTGCGGTCAGTTGGTCGACGGTCAGCAAACAAGCGTGAAATTGCACAGCAATCGTGTTGGACTGGAAAAAGGTGGAAAAAAAAGAGTGACAGAGGGAGAGAGAGGGGGAGAGAGGGCGCAAGGGTAGGGAAAGCGAGGGAATCGCAGTAAAAGCGGCACAAAAGGCAATCAAACTTGCGGCCTATGAATGCGAAGTCCTTTAACAAGCTGCATACGCTGCGTTTTATTTGCATGCGCCATTTTGGCCACATGCAAAGCAAAATCCTTTGCCTCTCTCTCTCTCTCTCTCTCTCTCTCTCTCTCACTCTCTCTTTGTCTCTTTCGAGCACAGCAATTACCGCGCTATTGATGATGTTTGATTAGAAAAGTCTTTTAAATGCGAACATTGTACATTTATCTAGGACAGCAGCAGCAGCTGCAGGCGATTGTGTTATTCAAATTAAATGCATACATGCGCTAATGAATCAATTATCCTTATTACTTGGCCATGTGCAAACATACACACAAACACACACACACACACGTGCTCACAATGTTAAATATGCATATGCAGCCCACACACATGTGGGCGGGTTGCGCCCTTCAATGCGCCACAACGTTTGGTTTAATTAAAACCGAACCGATTCGATACGATTCGTTGGCCAAGTCCGCAGCACGTTTTAAATTTAGCGCTGAGCCAAAAGAATTTTTACAATCCTGGTCAGCCCGAGCAGAAGGGCAGAGAGAGAGAGAGAGGGGCACTTCATTAAAGGGTGTAAAGTTGAAAAATTTATTTGCCCCATGCGCCAAGCGTGTCGCTCAATGTTATTGAGCCTGAATGTCGATTGATGGCGACTGCCCGGCTCGATGCGGCAATGCTGTAAATTTTGCAACGCCAGTGAACTGCACTTTCAAGGCTCGCCCAAAGATTTGCGCCCATAAACTGAGTATACAGCGTACATATATACGCTTGGGGAATACGTGTGCACTCTGCTGATAGGTAGACGTGTTAAAGTTGGATTGAAAGCCAAACTTAAGTGAAACTGTTCAATTCAGTTAAGACGCTCTTTCTTACGGCTTAAGAACATTTTTAATCCTTACTATGTTAAGCTAAGGGCAGATTTTCAAAAGTTGTTGATTTTGGAACAACATTCAAGACAAAATAGTTATTTTAAAGCTAGAGAATGTTAATAAAAGCGATTTCATGTAACATTTTGCTTATAACATTTACAATGCGCTATTAAAATGTTACAACTATTTTTGCTGGTAATGTTAAAGTAACATCACCTTCTCACGTATAATGTTTGGGTTTGGAGTAAGTTTAAAGTGAAAATATTTATTTTAAAGCAAGAGGTTTGCGATATTGCTTTAATAACATTAGCTATATGCTATTCAAATTGGTTTGGGTTCTATTATTCAAAAATGGTTTACATAACATGTTTTAAATAACATTAACATTAACATAAACTTACGACGCGCTGTTAATACTTATGTTATTTAGATAACAGTAATGTATTGTCCTATAATAATTATTCCCTTTGCTGTCTAAAATGTATGTTAACATTTAAGCGCTTAGTGCATAGGATATTTCTTTATGCGTATCTTATATAATTGAATATCACTTTGGATATATGGCTGTGATGCATCTTTCGAACCTTATTGGACTATTATAAATTATTGTCGCATAAATAATATATAACGGATTGCGAATATATAAAAATTCACAGTCAACAAAATGCAATCAAACAATTCGCTTGGTTATCCAATTGAATTTTATTTCAATTGTTAAAATCGCAATCTACCTCCGGCATTCCATAAAATACCTGCTCTATCGTGTGCTGTCAATCAGCTTTCAATTATTGCAGCTAATTTAGCTGCCCTTTAAGCTCACGCTATGTATATATATATATAATGTCATTTGCCATACCCTCCAAATTGATATATATGTGGCATGGCATCCCTATTGCTGCAAATGACACGATGCCGTTCTGGAGTTTATTTCGTTGCCATCGCATGCACTTTTTGTACCATTTTTTGTGCGATGTTACAGAAATCGCTGCAAGCAGCAAGCGCAAAAAACACAATAAAAATGCCAGGATAAACGACAAAAAAAAAACCAAGATGGGGCTGAAAAATGGAGTAAAAATGAGGCGCATAAAATGCAAGTGGCGGCATTTTGCAGCTTTGCGCTGCTATGCGGCGCGAAATTGCATGGGAAAACCGAACCGAAACCGAACACACAAGAGAAACAAAAAGAAAGAAACACGAAATAGCAGTGTGACGTAGCATGTAAGTGTTGGTAAACGCGGTGCGAAATGGTTCGACGCTCTTTGTCTTTGCGTCGTTCTTGTTGTTGTTATTGCAAATGTACGAATGTTATGTAGGTCAGCCAAGCAACGAAATGATGCCGTGACTGTAATACCCTGTTATTAGAAGTAAGTGTTGCATAACGCTCAAATATGAGCAGTGGCTAGGGGGAAAAATAAGCTACTAGCAAATTTAATAAGTAAGGTGTGTCTTCAAACGAGTATGCAAATACTTGCTGCACTCAAAATTACTTTGTGAGTTTATGCAGCAAATGCGTGGTATATCGTTGTTCAACACTGTCGCCAATTTTATTTGACTGGCAATTGTGGTTGCTGTTGGCTGCAGTTGCTGTTGTTTAACAAGTTCGAGTGCAGCGCATTTGTAAAATTTAAGAACCATCTAAACTTTGGCATGAGTGCGCCACAAATACAAAGGGAGAAACAGAGAGCGAGAAGGGGAGCTGAAGAAGGAGATAGAGCGAGAGGGAGAGAATAAAAGAACTTTTTGAGGCTGTCGCTGACACCAAAACACAAAAACAACAGCAAAAAGTTTGTTTAACAATGTGCAAAGAAGCTGAGAAATGGTTAGGAACGGAAAATGGCCGGGAACACGTTTAGGCATGGGCGAGGGGTAACTGCAGGATGTCGGGTGTAGAGTGTGTAGCGTGGCAAATATATTTGACATTTGCATACGAAAAGTGTCAAAAGGAGAACACACACACGCACACACACATATGAGGCCGCAACTTCCGTAACGCTCTTATCTTAGTTTATTGTCTGTTACTCACACATTTTCTCACTCCTTTCCTTTTAGGAGCGCTACAAGGCCGACATTAGTCTTGCCATACAATTGCTGCAATGCAAACCGGACAGCTTTGTGCCCCAGAAGGTGTCGTCGGTAAGTATTGTTCCTCCCGGCTACAGTTGCGACTTTTACCCAAAGTTTTACACAAATTTTCCATTGAAACTTGAATATCTTTTAGCTGCCAATTGACATACAGTCCAAGGTGTCTGCCTATATGCGTCTGGAGACTAATTCCCATTCGGATTCCGAGTGTAGCAATAGTGGTGTGGGCGTGGCAACCACAGCTTCCTATAAAGTGCTTCCGGTCTCGGACTCACCACCGCCAGCGCCATGCCCCTTTCCGCCCACCGCAATGGTGTACTCTATGCGGGGCCTCGGTAAGTGTTAGTAGACCATTTTGATTTTATTATTTCTTAAACTCTGCAACTCTTCATTTAACTTTATTTCCCTCTACTTAGATATATATTTATTTTTTGCTTAGTAAATTGAATTTGATTTCTCTCCATTTATTTCCTTGACAACAATTCCTTATTGGGCGCACATTGGAGGACATTTTTAAATTTGTTTACTCAATCATCATTTACAACATTTTTCGGAGACCCAACGTACACACATTACATTTGTTTATTATTTCTATTAAGTTGCTTATACCCTGTACTTACTAAAAATTTAAAAAAGGGAGGGCATATTTGTTTGTGCAAGTGTATGTAACAAGCAGAAGAAAGTTTTTATATCCGACATAATTTTGATTGACATCAAAGAGTTTATCATGCCACAATCATCCATCCATATGATATCAGAGAACTCAAGTTTGAAACCTAAGTCATCAAAGTTGGACTTCCCTTCAAATCATCGATAACCTGCTCCGTTGCCAAAATATCGATAAAAATCGATTTCTGCCTTCTGTCTCATGGGTGTAGCTCGTCTAACAGCTCTATTTCTAAGGGCTAGAGACCTCAAACTTAGTATCTAGGTTCTCATGCAGTACAACATATCAAGAATGTTTACTTTTTGGATGCCTACCCCTGTTTGCCAGAAATTACAAAAAACAAAAGTATTTGTTGTGGTAAAGTCTTTGGCCTTGGGATATATCTATATTTGGGTGCCATATTTAAGCCCTGAAGGTTTTATCAAGATCGGACTATAAATACTAGTGTTATACAAGAACGTATTCTCCATTGGGAAAAGCTAAAAGAAGAAAAAGAATATGCGACATGTATGTGTATAGTGTGTGTGAGTGTGTGTTTTCGTATGTGTATTTATATATCATATATAATATATATTATGTATAATTATATTATATTATAATGTATAGCTCGATGCTGGGTACAGGGCATCTTCTAGTCGGGCACGCTCGACTGGCGCACTTTCATTTTTTTTTCATACATTTTTTCTTGTAAATACTTGATTGGCGTTTTTTGTAAATTGTTCACTTTAATTGTTTATTATTTGATTTAAGTTTATTGACATAGTTTTAATTACAGCTCAAATTTATTGTAAATAATTTGTGAAATTTGTGCGTTCGGTTTGATTTGCATTGGCTCAATGTTTATAAAATGTGTTTAACAATGTTCATAATTCATATTTATTATTATTAGTTTTGGCAATATTTTTGGCTATGAATTTGGGCAACAAATAATTGAAATGCTCAAGAATTGAATGCATTTTTGGGGTTAAATATGCAGCTAATAAATTAAATACTCAGAAGGAATAGAACATCGTTTGCAATTTAAATTTCTAAACAAAGGATATGTATAGAATTTTAATACAATTTTTTACCTTTTATAACATGAAAATATTTAAAATAATATAAAATTAAAAAAAAAGAAATGTGAATGGGACTAAAGTTATGCAAATAAATATAAATAGAAACAGGAATAGGAATTGCAATAGAAATATGAATATGAGTAGGAAGAAGACTGGGAAATGGGAATTGGGAGCTGGTATAAGAATAGCAATAGGAAAAAGCATAGGAATAGGAATAGAAATGGGAAAAGCAATAAGGAAAGAAATATAAATAGGAATAAAAAAGACATGGAAATAGGGAATGGATTTAATAAGCGATGAGAAGAGGAATGAAAAAAGGCATGGGAATAATATAAGAATACAAATAGGAGCAGGAATAGGAGTTGGAAGAGGAAATGGAATGGAAGTAGGGATTGCTACGAGAATACATATAGCAGAAGAAATATGAATAGGGAATGGATGGAATTAGTTATTGAAAGAGAAACACAAATGACGAAGAGGAGATTATAAAAGCAAAAGCAAAGATCATTTAGAAAAACGAATATCAATCATTTTTGAGTATAGTTAGGGAATGCGTGAGATGCTAAGCCCTGTAGTTACTATTTTCATGAAGTCAAAATATTGCCAAAAGCTGATAATATAAAGGAAACACATATTTGGCCAAGAACGTGCATTCATTTGATTGTTTTTCTTTTGGCTCGTAAACAGATGCCGCCAATGGCAACTCAGCGAATGCACAAACAGCGCCAGCTAACAACAACAACAATAACAACAGCAACAACAGCAATAACAACAGCAGAGGCAGCAGCACAAAGGATACAATTAACAATAACAACATTAGCAACAACAACAACAAGCACAGCTCCAGCCAAACGCTCAACGGTCAACCCAAGACCAACAGCAACAACAACAACAACAACAATGCAGATCCAGACATGATTTCACCCACGGTTATGGCCAAATTTCTGGAGGATGAACTGAAACTGAACGATGTGAAGCACTGCGATACGTGCCAGTGCAGCAAACAGGATCTGACCGTGCTGGCGGACATCGCACGTTCCTATTCGGTGGCCACACAGACGCCCCACTCGCTGGCAACCGCCGGCGCCAGCACACTGAACGAGCCGCTGACCCAGCTGTGCCTGAGGTGCCACAGCAATCTGAACTCGCCGTCGCGCACCAACAGTCCCTATCTGATGAAGCTGGTCAAGTCAAGTGATTCGGTCATTTCGGAGACGAAGAGTTCCGTTTCGGATTTGAACGACATGGACAAGCTGTTCACGCTGCCCAAAAAGGATGATCTGATGGTTAATCCCATACTGGGACATCACAGGCTGTGCGAGCGCACGTCTCTGCCGGCCAGCGCCAACACGCTCATGTATCCGACCACGCATCTGGGCGCCTATGCGGGCGCCGAGAAGTATCTGCTGGAGACGAGCAATCCGGGCCAGCTGCGTCAGGGCACGGCTGCGTATCAGCGTCGATTCTTGGACGGCGGCGGCACGGCGCTGCAGCTGCTCAACAAATACGAGGCAACAGCAACGACTGCTGCTGCTGCTACCACAGCAGCCGAGGAGCTGGAGGATGAGGTCAGTAAGCCGCTGCTGGCGGCCATATCACAGCCCAATCTGTTGGAGGCGGAGCAGCCGCCAGTTGTGCAGCTCACCAAGCCGGAGGATGTCTGTGAGCCGCAGCCCGCCAAGCCAATAGCTGTCGTTGGAGCCGGAGTTGGAGCCGTAGTTGGAGTCACAGCTGCTCCTGCCAGCTGCCCGCTCAAGTCCAATAACTCAGGCAGCGTGCAGAGCCTGTGGAGCAACAAGACGAGCAGCTGCGAGGGCGCCAAAATGTTTGAGACTTTCAATAGAAATCTCATCAAGACTATCAAGGTGGGCTAGACAGGTGCTGTTAAGCAAATATCTATACAGTGAATACCCTCTGGGACGAACAGTGGCCGTTGGGTAATATCCGCTTAATCGAAGGGGAAGGGTTATGACCAAATTCATAATGGTTTCAGTGAAAAGGTCCGCCTAAGATGAGTCTGGTCTGTTGTCTAATAAAAGCGTCCGCTAGGAGGGTTTTCACTGTACACATAAAGCTGTTCGTCCTGCCCAGATTTACTTACTGAAGTTTCGGCTTTAAACTCACTTTCCAAGATTTTAGTCCAAATTTATTTGAGACGTGTTTCCCTTCTTGCAAAATCTACTCCTTGTAGGTGGAAAATGTTGGTCGAGGGGTTTCTGGGTGAAATTTGAAGTTTCGTGCAGTTAGCTTCAAACTTATTTTCAAAGTTCTCTAGAAATTTGTGTTTCAGCTTTTTGGAATTTTCACCCGTAGATGTGGAAAAATGATGGTAAATGTCAACTTTTGTGGAATTGAAAACGTATCTCAGGATAGGAATAGGAAATTTGCAGCTTTTGGCTTTACATTATGTGCGGAAAATGTTGTTTCCAACTTCTGGATATTAAATCTTCAACTTAAATCGATAACTCAGGACGTGGAGATTAAGATAGTACGAGTTGATCTAAATTTCTAACGGATGGAGAATGGGTGGAAAGTCAATTTCAGAAGGTAAAAACTTGGAGTGAGCTAGGCTCAGAAATACCTGTTAGTGTAAAATGTAACTTAAGATGTGGAGTTTAGGATAGTACGGGCTAATTTGTCACGGATTGGAAATGGATGGAAAAGCCCGAAAAAATACCGGGTAGTGTAAAATATAACTTACGACAAAGAGAATGGATAGATTGAAATTTTCACGGAAGGGAAATAAATGGAAAAGAGATTAAGCAAAGTCGGGAAAATATTAGCTATTGTAAGTCGTGGAGTTTAAGATAGTACGGATAGATTTAAATTTTCACGGACGGGAAATGGATGGAAAATTTACCGGAAAATACCAGCTAGGACATCAAATCATCATATCATCATCATGATCATCATCATTTTATTGATTTCCAAGCATATTTATGAACATACTACTCCCATTTTATTCAGGCGGAGAATCCGAAATATCGAGGGCCACGTCTGTGTGCCATGCGCATACAGCAGAATGGCCAGAGCAACATACTGCTGGACAATCTGGAGTCGATCGAGACACATGTGCCGGTCATCTATAAGCGGCGCGAACGACTGCTGGACGAGGAGCTGAACGATGGCAAGGACATTATCACGTCCAAGGAGAGCAATGCGACGGCTGTGGTCGAAGTGTGGCAGGCCTCGGCAATGCCGCACGAGAATGTGGCACTGCAGCCGGTGCTGGAGCCGCAGGTGGAGCTAAAAGAGACTGAAAAGAGCGTCCAGTTGGACAGCAGCAATATGCCCACGGCGGTTTCGTCGGTGGCAGCGGGAACAACGGAGGTTGTCGCTGGATCAGGTGTTCCAATTGGTCCAGGTGTAATAACTGCAGCGGCTGCTGTTGCTGCAGCTGCTGTGTGCTCACCCAAGCACTCGGCCAACTCGAGTTCGCTGAGCGATGCCATTGACTATCAGGAGAGCGTGCTGCTGCGTCGCCAGCAGCTGAATCGTGTGGCCGAGTGGGTGCAGCACAATACACAGCAGCTAGAGCAGCGGGCGCTGCAGCAGCCGGCGCTGCCCACGGACTCGAATTCGGGCACGGAACGGCAATCATCCTACTCGACTCTGGATCGCATGGACTCCATATCCATAGAGAAGCTAAGCATGGACTCGGGCTACAAGACAACGCCACAGCAGCTGACCAATGGCTATGCGGATGCGGGCAAATCCACGGAGGATTCGCTCTCGCCCAAGACAGACATCACTAGCAATTCGCTGCCGGAGGCAGTCATGTCCAACAGCCAGCCAGGCGCCGTGTCTGCCGCTGTGGTGACCAAAAAGGCAGAGCTCTGCACCACCTACTACAGGCGCACCACGCGTTCCGGCCTGCCCGTGGCATATACCACGACCACGACCACCATGACGGCAGTAGCAACAGCAGCTGATTCGCAGGGCTGCTCCTCGGCCGGGTCGCCGTCCCTGCTGTGCCCCGAACAGCCCACGTGTGATATACTCAACTATAAATACTATCCCAATGATACGGACAAGACGCGGTCCGTGCAGGCCGAGCTGCACACGACCACACAGCACGTGGACATCGCCCAGATGGAATACAATGTGAAGCAGTTTCTGCTCAAGCAGAACGAGTGGTCCATGCGCGCCGAGGCAGCTGCGCCAGGTGCTGCCGGCGCTTCGGCGCCACGTCTGCTGCGGCATACGCGTCTCCTGGGACCCGGCGTGGGTGAGCGTGTGCGCATGGCCACGCCTGGTGGCGCTGTGGCAGCCGCGCCCAGTGTCCTGGCGCCGCACAGAACTGAAACGAATTTATAAGCGTAGGGAGCAGGCGTCACAGGAGCGAAGCATCAACCAAATTGTATTCTAGTTTAGCGCCAGATACCAACCAGGAGCAATGCTTACAAGCAAGTTTAAGTTAATAAGTACCATGTGCTAGTAAATGTACGATATATATATATATACATGAATATATATATATATTTATACCTATGTGTAATTCTTAAAACTACGTCTAAGCTGATTGGCTTCAGAGTTGCGCTTATAATGCAGCTATATGGGCATCATGGCGTTGGAATATTAGATACATACCTAAGTTCATACACTCAGAGAAAAACATTTAGTATTCAATACTTAAATCAATCAGAAACGTGGACAAATCGCGTTCAAGTTCAAAATTTTGTAAGCTGACATGTAATTTCTTTTAATTCAAGCTTTGTAAAGCACTTGTAGAGGGTATTATAATACAGTCACAAAATATGTTGAAGAAGACATCATCGATTCCATATATACTTTATATATTCTTGAGCAGCATCAACAGCTCTACAAACTATTTTCTCAGTTTCCGTATCATATCGACCTGAACGGGCCACTATATCACATAGCTGCCATAGAAATAATCGGTCAAAACTAAGTTTATGTATGAAAAACTTCTTTACATGATATTTTCACTTGTCAAACTTGCACCCATACAGTTTTGGGACTACTTTACCATATAGCTCTTATAGGAAGAATCAGACGAAAAGTTAGTTTTCGTATGGAAAACTAGTCGGTTTTTCATGATATCTTGACCAAACTCAGCAATTGCGAGCTTCACTCTTCTACGAACATATCTGCAAAACCGTAACAATCCGAATGACTATATTGTTTCTTGTATAGGAACAATCGGATAGAGGCAAAGTCTTCACATAAAAGCGCTTCCAAGCCACATAGTCTACTATAGTATTTGGACGTTCTCTTTTGTTTTTATATTAATGTTTATAATGTTTACATTATAGATGATTTGTGCTTAGCAGCTTTTTCTCTGAGTGTAGCAATTCACACAACCTTCTCGAGTCTTCCTTCTGCTGTATAAACTGTACAAACTAAACTTTAGAGCTTGCTTTCGATATTTAACATGAACTTCACGTTTATGCCCCAAATGTTTGTCTTCCTTTCTCGACTTTCTCTCATCTCTCACGCCCAACGCCACGCTGATCCGGCCTATATATAAATATATATATATATAAATTAAAAAGCATATGATTATTCCATATGATATTCAAATTTTCGCATTACCTTTTGGTGTCTGCATGTTAATCAATCCATTTAATATACAACTCTATATATATATATATATATCTGCTTAGGCTATAACGATATTATGCTAAATTGATTGATATGTATTTGATAAGCGCCATTATATTTTCTAGATTCCAATTGTGCAATATTTGTTATTAGCGAGAAACCAAGAAAAACCAAGAAACAAAAAAAGACGTAAAGAAATGAATTTTTATTTTTATAAAATGCGACCAAAGAAAAAACCGAGGCATACGAAAACCTATTCGAGAGTTCTATCTATTAAGTTCGTAATATTTGAAATCTAATATCCGCCAAGAACCTGCCTAATGTTTAAGCTTCTACGATATAGCAGCCGCTCTATAATTAACCTATATACAAGTGTACTGTACCTTCTTAGTAAAAATTAGCAGCAACTGTACTCATTCCTGCCCATTAGATGACCTTCATAACACACAGCCTATATACTCTCGATCTACACACGATCTTTATATATATATATAGAGGAAAAACTGAATGTAATCTTGAGCTAACTAGCATTGCAATATATATATATATATAAACGTATCTGAACAAACATATGAAACACACACAGACATACGCTCACATACATATATTTACACATATATACCGCATCGAAAGCATATTCATACACACACACACACGTACACACTCGTATATCCGACCCACAACAAACTACTTTGAAAGGCTTCAAATTATCTACCGAAACATTTTCTATATACACGCATAATCCCTCCCAAATTTAAAAATCAAAATTAAATGCCTATTTACTCGTCTATTTACAAGCATAATACATACATACATAACATACAAATACATGCATATAACTCCATATATACCTATATATATATATATGACTTTAACATGTATACACTGAGCGAAATGCTATATGAAAAATGCTTTAATACTGTTATGTTTGGCCTATTTCTAAACGTTTAATTAGACACAATTCTCTCAAATAAAACGAAAAAAACTATTACTACTTAATAAACAGCTTCGAACTGGCTAGCTGAACAAATTATGCCACATAGTTTTGTTCAGTGTAAGTTAACTTTATGCTACATTTAACTCTAAACCAATGCAGCTCAGTTCGTCAATCAAATACAAAGACTTGCAAAATGTTCTTCATTCAACCAATACACAATCAAAACAAACATATTCAGAACCCACAAACAAATCATTAACTACTCAAAAGCACAGAAAACAAACTACTCAATTCTACTCTTTGCTATCCTCGACTTGTACTCATTCAACTCGCTGCTCAAAAGAAAGGAAAAAAACATGAAATATAGTCGCATATTTCGTAGTTCCACATTATAAAAAAAAGAAGCACATCTCGGCGTGCTTTTTGGTTAGCAATATAACACTGGCCCGCCCCCGCCTCACTCACCCCTATTCCCCCGCATCTGCCAGTTTACAATCACCTCATTAAGCTACGCATTTAAATTTAAGTAGAATTATTTCAACAAATTTTCGAGCTCAAAGAACTTTATAAAGGCAGCCTACGACGTGTAACATTACGATTATTAGCAACAACAAAAAAAACCAAATATATATATTTAAAATGAAATGGAATTTCAACAAAAGCAAAATGCAAAAGAAAAACAACTTAGCATAAATATTTGGACATAAGTTTTTCCTCGCCCCGCATATATGCAAACTGAAGTACTTAGTTTTAAGCGGTTTTTTGCTGATTTTTATTAGACAACTCCTCAACTCCCCCCGCCCCCCTCGGACCCCTTTAGCCTTATATATGAGTGTACATTTTTGCGCCTAGTTTGATATAACAATTTTTGAGCTATCGAACCACCTTAATGTGTAACAACAACTAAACAAACCGAAACAAATTAAATAAATATGAGATAATTTTTGAAAAAAAAAAAAACATTAGAAAGTTATTTATTAGGGTTTGATAAAGGATAAAAAATATGTAAATATTTTATATATATTTGGTTTTTTGTTTATTTATTGCTTTACTTGTGTTTCCAGTAAAATTTACTTAACAAGCCCGCTTGCCTACATCCTTCACAGGTCGGTAATTGAGAGTCCTTTGTAATAAATTTCGTCAAACTCATTAAGATCTCATTAGAGAGCTGCTCAAAAACACAGCTGCTTAGGTACAAATTGTTTATGAGTTCTCGGCATTTTCGGAGAAACTTTCCAAATTCTTGCAGCAGGTTATATTACATTTCTAAATTATCTGTGCAGTAAAATTATATTGCATATTACATTATATTATATTAAATATTATCCCAATTTATTTTTTTTACCATGTTTTTGAATGAATGCAAAGCAACGGACGGGCTTTAGAACATTCTTCAGCTCAGTTTTCTATTGTTTGAGCATCTAATTTTCAAGATTAGTTGAATTAAGAAAAATATAATTATACAGAGAAAACTAGCTTGGGCTGACAGCGACTGTTGGGTAGTTAATGTCCGGTCAAGATAAGTGTCTGCTCAAAAGAGGGGGAATTGATGTGGTCCGATTTGTATTGGTCTTCGTTCGGAAACTTCTATGGGTGTGGGCAATTTTGGCCTATGTCTATATAGGATATTTTAGAGTACCATTTCAACATGAATTTTGACCAACAATAATGTTGTCAGATATAGAATTATCTAGAGGCCAAACCACGAACAACGAACCTGACCTGGTGAAAACCCGTTGAGTTTGACCAGGTTATAAGCAGGGGAGATTTAGACCCATGTCCATGTCTATATCCGATTTTGGGCGGCCAAATTTTGACATGAATTTCGACCAAAAAATGTGTTGCCAGGTGTAAATATCAAATTAAAGAATGTTCAAAACCATGAAGAAAAATCCAAATCTCGTGAAAATCGGTTGAATTTTGGCCGAGTTATGGAAGGGGGAAATTTCGACCCATGTCGATATCCATTTTTAAGGGGTCACATTTTGACATGAATTTCGACCAAAAAATGTGTTGCCAGGTTTAAAGGCCAAATTAAAGTAGGCTCAAAACCATGAAGAAAAATCCAAATCTCGTGAAAATCGATTGAGTTTTGGCCGAGTTATGACAATGGGAAATTTCGACCCACGTCGATATCCATTTTTAAGGGGTCACATTTTGACTTGAATTTCGACCAAAAAATGTGTTGCCAGGTTTAAATGCCAAATTAAAGTAGGTTCAAAACCATGAAGAAAAATCCAAATCTCGTGAAAATCGGTTGAATTTTGGCCGAGTTATGGAAGGGGGAAATTTCGACCCATGTCGATATCCATTTTTAGGGGGCCACATTTTGACATGAATTTCGACCAAAAAATGTGTTGCCAGGTTTAAATGCCAAATTAAAGAAGGTTCAAAACCATGAAGAAAAATTCAAATCTCGTGAAAATCGGTTGAATTTTGGCCGAGTTATGGAAGGGGGAAATTTCGACCCATGTCGATATCCATTTTTAAGGGGTCACATTTTGACATGATTTTCGACCAAAAAATGTGTTGCCAGGTTTAAATGCCAAATTAAAGTAGGTTCAAAACCATGAAGAAAAATCCATGTCTCGTGAAAATCGGTTGAGTTTTGGCCGAGTTATGATAATGGGAAATTTCGACCCACATCGATATCCATTTTAAGGGGTCACATTTTGACATGAATTTCGACCAAAAAATGTGTTGCCAGGTTTAAATGCCAAATTAAAGTAGGTTCAAAACCATGAAGAAAAATCCAAATCTCGTGAAAATCGGTTGAATTTTGGCCGAGTTATGGAAGTGGGAAATTTCGACCCATGTCGATATCCATTTTTAGGGGGCCACATTTTGACATGAATTTCGACCAAAAAATGTGTTGCCAGGTTTAAATGCCAAGTTAAAGTAGGTTCAAAACCATGAAGAAAAATCCAAATCTCGTGAAAAACGGTTCAATTTTGGCCGAGTTATGGAAGGGGGAAATTTCGACCCATGTCGATATCCATTTTCAAGGGGTCACATTTTGACATGAATTTCGACCAAAAAATGTGTTGCCAGGTTTAAATGCCAAATTAAAGTAGGTTCAAAACCATGAAGAAAAATCCAAATCTCGTGAAAATCGGTTGAATTTTGGCCAAGTTATGGAAGTGGGAAATTTCGACCCATGTCGATATCCATTTTTAGGGGGCCACATTTTGACATGAATTTCGACCAAAAAATGTGTTGCCAGGTTTGAATGCCAAATTAAAGTAGGTTCAAAACCATGAAGAAAAATCCAAATCTCGTGAAAATCGGTTGAATTTTGGCCGATTAATGGAAGTGGGAAATTTCGACCCATGTCGATATCCATTTTTAGGGGGCCACATTTTGACATGAATTTCGACCAAAAAATGTGTTGCCAGGTTTAAATGCCAAATTAAAGTAGGTTCAAAACCATGAAGAAAAATCCAAATCTCGTGAAAATCGGTTGAATTTTGGCCGAGTTATGGAAGGGGGAAATTTCGACCCACGTCGATATCCATTTTTAAGGGGTCACATTTTGACATGAATTTCGACCAAAAAATGTGTTGCCAGGTTTAAATGCCAAATTAAAGTAGGTTCAAAACCATGAAGAAAAATCCAAATCTCGTGAAAATCGGTTGAATTTTGGCCGAGTTATGGAAGGGGGAAATTTCGACCCACGTCGATATCCATTTTTAAGGGGCCACATTTTGACATGAATTTCGACCAAAAAATGTGTTGCCAGGTTTAAATGCCAAATTAAAGTAGGTTCAAAACCATGAAGAAAAATTCAAATCTCGTGAAAATCGGTTGAATTTTGGCCGAGTTATGGAAGGGGGAAATTTCGACCCACGTCGATATCCATTTTTAAGGGGCCACATTTTGACATGGATTTGGACCAAAAAATGTGTTGCCAGGTTTAAATGCCAAATTAAAGTAGGGACAAAACCATGAAGAAACATCCAAATCTCGCAAAAATCGGTTAAATTTTGGCCGAGTTATGACAATGGGAAATTTCGACCCATGTCGATATCCATATTTAAGGGGTCACATTTTGACATGAATTTCGACCAAAAAATGTGTTGCCAGGTTTAAATGCCAAATTAAAGTAGGTTCAAAACCATGAAGAAAAATCCAAATCTCGTGAAAATCGGTTGAATTTTGGCCGAGTTATGGAAGGGGGAAATTTCGACCCACGTCGATATCCATTTTTAGGGGGCCACATTGTGACATGAATTTCGACCAAAAAATGTGTTGCCAGGTTTAAATGTCAAATTAAAGTAGGTTCAAAACCATGAAGAAAAATTCAAATCTCGTGAAAATCGGTTCAATTTTGGCCGAGTTATGGAAGTGGGAAATTTCGACCCATGTCGATATCCATTTTTAGGGGGCCACATTTTGACATGAATTTCGACCAAAAAATGTGTTGCCAGGTTTAAATGCCAAATTAAAGTAGGTTCAAAACCATGAAGAAAAATCCAAATCTCGTGAAAATCGGTTGAATTTTGGCCGATTAATGGAAGTGGGAAATTTCGACCCATGTCGATATCCATTTTTAGGGGGCCACATTTTGACATGAATTTCGACCAAAAAATGTGTTGCCAGGTTTAAATGCCAAATTAAAGTAGGTTCAAAACCATGAAGAAAAATCCAAATCTCGTGAAAATCGGTTGAATTTTGGCCGAGTTATGGAAGGGGGAAATTTCGACCCACGTCGATATCCATTTTTAAGGGGCCACATTTTGACATGAATTTCGACCAAAAAATGTGTTGCCAGGCTTAAATGTCAAATTAAAGTAGGTTCAAAACCATGAAGAAAAATTCAAATCTCGTGAAAATCGGTTCAATTTTGGCCGAGTTATGGAAGTGGGAAATTTCGACCCATGTCGATATCCATTTTTAAGGGGCCACATTTTGACATGAATTTCGACCAAAAAATGTGTTGCCAGGTTTAAATGCCAAAATAAAGTAGGTTCAAAACCATGAAGAAAAATCCAAATCTCGTGAAAATCGGTTGAATTTTGGCCGATTAATGGAAGTGGGAAATTTCGACCCATGTCGATATCCATTTTTAGGGGGCCACATTTTGACATGAATTTCGACCAAAAAATGTGTTGCCAGGTTTAAATGCCAAAATAAAGTAGGTTCAAAACCATGAAGAAAAATCCAAATCTCGTGAAAATCGGTTGAATTTTGGCCGAGTTATGGAAGGGGGAAATTTCGACCCACGTCGATATCCATTTTTAAGGGGCCACATTTTGACATGAATTTCGACCAAAAAATGTGTTGCCAGGTTTAAATGCCAAAATAAAGTAGGTTCAAAACCATGAAGAAAAATCCAAATCTCGTGAAAATCGGTTGAATTTTGGCCGAGTTATGGAAGGGGGAAATTTCGACCCACGTCGATATCCATTTGTCACATTTTGACATGAATTTCGACCAAAAAATGTGTTGCCAGGTTTAAATGCCAAATTAAAGTAGGTTCAAAACCATGAAGAAAAATCCAAATCTCGTGAAAATCGGTTGAATTTTGGCCGAGTTATGGAAGGGGGAAATTTCGACCCACGTCGATATCCATTTGTCACATTTTGACATGAATTTCGACCAAAAAATGTGTTGCCAGGTTTAAATGCCAAATTAAAGTAGGTTCAAAACCATGAAGAAAAGTGCAAATCTCGTGAAAATCGGTTGAGTTTTGGCAGAGTTATGGCAATGGGAAATTTCTACCCACGTCGATATCCATTTTTAAGGGGCCACATTTTGACATGGATTTGGACCAAAAAATGTGTTGCCAGGTTTAAATGCCAAATTAAAGTAGGTTCAAAACCATGAAGAAAAATCCAAATCTCGCGAAAACCGGATGAGATTTGACCAATTTATGGGGTTGGGAAATTTTGACCCATATATGTATCTATAAATTTGACCAGCAAGAATGTTTAAAATCTAGAAAAAGGGGGGAAAGGAATAAATAAGAACAGAAACCCCAAAAGAGCAGTCACTTTAATGATATTTATTTAATGTATTTTGTGTTTTGTTTTTATTAAAAATAAATTCCTGCGAAAATGAAATAAATAATTTGTTGCATGCACTTAAACAACTATGGAAAGTATTTCGCTTTTGCTTTTCTCTCATGCTCTGCCGAACTTTCTCCTTCTCTCTTCTGTGTGTGTTTGTGTGTCGAAAAATGGCGATAAAATGGCTTCAGTCAATGCGACTTCTCTGCGTCTGCCTTTTGTGGCAGATGGAGATGCAAATTGTGTGTGAGTGTGTGTGCTTGGGTGTGTGTGTGTGTGTGTGCATTTAGAGAGCAACTGCATCAGCGGGCTGCTGTTCCGGCTGCTGCTCAACAGAATTGTTGCTGCTGGCTGGCACATCGGCGGAGGCATCATCGTTGACCACAATCACCTCGTTGGCGGGCACCGCCTCCTCGAAGGAGTCATCGATGGCCTCGCCGCTGTTGCGCACCTCGTTCTCCGATTCGGCTGGCTGCTCGGCCACATCGTCGGCCTGCTCCAGCTTGTCGTCGACGCCGGGCTGCTTGATGGGCGCCTCGGTGACAGCCGCAGCTACAGCCGAAGCCGCTGCAGCTGGTGCATTCTGTGGCCGATTGCCGCCCAGGAAATTGATGATGCCCTGCAGCGGTCCGCCGCCCTGTTGTCCCTGAGCTGGTGCCGCAGCAGTCGCTGTTGCATTGTTGCCGCCGCCAAAGACATTGTTCACAAACGACTGAATGGGCCCGGGCGGACGTGCTGTGGTCGGCTGTGCGTTTTGCTGGCCCGTCAGGCCGGAGAGTGTGTTCTGGAACTGGGTGCCCAGATTGCTGGCGAACTGCTGTATGCCCTGGAAGGCCTGCGTGGTGCTATTCACTACAGTTTGTGCCGCATTCTGCACCGCATTCTGAGCGGAGGTTATGGCCGCGCCGGGATTCAAGAAACCGGGCACAGTCGGCGCCGGCGTCGCTGTCTGATCCGCCTGCACCTGTTGCGATGACTGCTGCTGCTGTCCGTTGAACTGGTTGAGAAACTGGCCAATGGGTGAGTTCTGTATCAGCTGCTGCACAAAGTTCTGCTGCGTTGTGCTCTGCTGCGTGGGCGTCGCCTGCGTGGCCTGGCGCACATGCGGCTGCACTGCATCCTGCTCCACCGCCTGCTGCTCGACGGGTACAGCGTCTGCCACGGGAGCGACCTGCTGCTCAGCGTTTGCCTCAACAACTGCCTCGGCGGGCAGGGACTTCAATATGGGCTGTGCGGGCTCCGCCTCCGACTCCGACTGCGACGGCGACTTCTCGGCAATTTGGGGCAGCTCAGTCTTTAGCTCAGGTTCCGGCTTCGACTCTAGCTCCGGCTGAGATTCCAGCTTTGGCTTCGACTCCAGCTCTGGCTGAGATTCCAGCTTTGGCTTCGACTCCAGCTCCGGCTTAGCTTCCTCAGCTTTGGCTAGTTCGGGCTGCTGCTGCTCAGGCAGCTGGGTCTTGGTCTCCGCCTCCCTTTCCGTCTGCGTCTCCGGCACGATCTCCGTCTCCGTCTTGATGGGCTGCTGCTGCTCCGACTTGATGGGCTGCTCCTGCTCCGCGCTGATCAGCGGCAGAGCCTGCGGTTCTGGCTCTTTGATGATGGCAACGGGTATATCGAGCGCCTCCTTGGACGGCTGCAGCACACGTCCCTGGCTGCCCAGAGCCAGACAGAGTAGCACCAAGGCAATTGGCTTCATTTTGGGTTTGATTATTTTTTTCTGCTTTCGGCTCGCGACAAACGATTCACACAAACTGCTGAGCTCTACGCCTCACGGCCACAACTGTTTGAAATTTCTTTAGCCTCGGCGCATTTATACACTCGGCTCGCAGACACTCGACGCCGGCAGCTGCGTCGACTGCGGCAGCGGCTGCGTGGCGAGGCAGCCAGAAGATGGCGCGCTCTGTCTTGGCCAATTCTTCTGTCAAATGTCATTGAACTGAACTGCAGCAGGCGAAGCTGAAGACTGCAGTTGCAGTCGTTGGGCCCTTCTGGATAATTGGCCAATTCTAAGGAGTCTTGTGCTTGTTGTCCATGGGCGCGGGAGGCGGGAGCGGAGGGAGGGGCGGAAGGGGAGTGCTTGCACACTTGTCTGGCTTGAACATATTCCAGCCGCATGTTCTGCACATTAAACTGATCAAGGTTAAGCTGCTTTTATTTTTCCTTTTTCTAGCAGAGAGTGCAGCGAGTTGAAGTTAATTAATAGATCGATTGGACTTTGCAATGGCTTTCAGAGGCAGCCAGAGCCTCAATGTGGCTAAAATTAGAGATCATTAATTTGATATACACACAGTGGGAATTAAATTATAGCTCTGGCAGACAGCGTAGTCTAGGGTATTCATATAGCTAATGTCTTGGGCGAGGTTTATAGAAGACTGTGATTTTTTTAAATATCAAAATATATGATATGAACTATTATTATTGTAATTATATTATTAATATTAATGAGATTACTATTTCAGCCCAATTTGTTTAAAAAAATATGTAATGCTGAGTGAAAGGCTTCTCTTGAAGCACATCTATCTATATATCTAATACTATTTGTCCTGACTGAATTGATTTGTGATCAAGCCCAAACGGAGCTGTTAAGCTAAAGTCTTCAGTCTTATTTGTCTGGCTGGTTGCATCTCTAAGCAATGGGTTTTTTTTTATGATCCAATACAGAATTTCCTTTTTTATATAATTTCCGATTTCCTTAACGTTTATTGCGGTTTGAGCGTTTGATTAGATGCAAAAAGAATCTGATGACTCGTAGAGAAAATGATCTTTAATATGAAAGTTAATATTTAACAAATTTTTTGAAGGCATTTTTTGATTTACTCAAATTGTTTCATATATTTTATATATTGTCAAGAATTTTTTATAGAACCCAATTTAATTATTTGAGACTAAAAGCAATCGAGAGTTTAGTCCTTGATAAGTTGTTTTTTTTTTTATAAAATCTTTTTCCAACTTGATTCAAATTTTCACACAAAATCGATTAAAATATTGTATTGCAGAAATAGATTTAGAATTCGAACTTTGTTTGCCAAAAAAAAGAATCACAAATACAGCTTTATTTAAATTTATTTGTCAAATTGAAATTCCCGAGAATTTCGCTAGATTTCGCTTTAATGGGTTTTGCTTCATTTTGAGTAATTACTTAAATCGAATATAGGGTATTTGTTGTGCGGCACGCCAAAGCCAAGCGTCTTCTGCTTCTTCTTGTTCTGTGCATTAACGATTTACGAGAGTCGCCGACATTGTCTCTGCTTTGTTCTGGGCTGGCCGAAGCTGCATTTTGCCCCACTATGCAACTGGTTTTAATGCTTTTTATCGATCCAACGAACGACACGAGATCTGAACATATTTTCCAGCCCCAAGCACCGCCCGCCTCCACACTCGCGGGTTTTTCACTCTCATTCCTTCTGTGGCCAGCCGCAGCTGCGGCAGCAGAGGAACAAGAGGAAGAAGAAGAAGCTGTGGCAGACATCTTACAAGAAAGTCTTTGGGATGGTCTTTTGGCTTCTTTGATTGCGTCGAAGAAACAAGTTTTTGTGTCTTTGTGGCCAAAGAAACCAGCTCGAAGTGCGGCTATTTTTAGAGCCAATTAGTTTTGGATGCGGCGACTGTAGATGGACACTTCTGATTGGGATTCTGATTGGGATTCGGCTGCAGATTGTAAATCAGGCCCTGCATTAGCCCAGCCACGTTTTCACCCAATTTCTTTCACATTTCTCGACTCAAATTCAATTTGGTTTTCTAAATGCGACACAGAATGCAACTTAGTAACTGCCACGCCCACTCAAATAAATTATGCAAATGAGCGGCATTAGAAAATGTAGTTAAATGGGTCAAAGCGGACTTTTGGCTTGTGGCAAGGGGGAAGGGGAGGGGGCAGGTGCTTGCCCGCCCAGAAAATGAAAATGAAAATATGTTTCGACTGTGTCTGCGGCTATTTTCCGGCCAGGAAAAACTCAGCTGAACTTGACCAAATTGCAGTCCATCACAATTGGCCACGGCAACTGGACGCAATTGGCCAGCCCGAGCTGGAACCCGTTTCGCTGTGGCCCTTTAAAGCCAACAGGCCAAGCGGGAGACGAGCAGCCGAAGAGCTGAGCAGCTGAGGAGCTGAGGAGCTGAAGAGCTGGCGAGCTGTTTGCCTGCAAAAGGACATTGACTTTGGCTTTTGGCATCGACTTTGATTTTTTATAGAGTTGTTGTTGTTGTTGTTGCAGTTGTTGTTGTTGCAGTTGTTGCTGCTGGTTTGTTGGTTTGTTGGTTCGTCTCTTAATTGATTTCCGCGACAAGCAGAACAAGTTCGACACTCAAGTGTTTTATGTTGTCTTTTTTGTTTTCATTTTTTATCTGTCTTTTTATTTGCAATAGTCATCAAGTTTGGTTTTATGTTTGCTTTCGGCTTTGGCTTCATTAAGCACCACTGAAAATGGCCAAAACCAAAAAACATAGGGTATAATGTTTTTGTGCTTTCGTATGTAACACAAAGCAGGGGAGCTCTACTTCTGCCGAAAGCTCAGAGACTTGAGAGTTTTAAGATGGATGCTACTAGTGCGTGAGTTTATCGATAATTGGCATAAAATCGATAAAAATCGATGTAGATCTTCTGTTTCTTTGCAACATCTGAATGCTTTTAAGCGCTAGAAACAGCAAATTTGAGATACGAGCATGTGGAGATCATAAAAATTAGGCTAGTGCATAAATTAATCGGTAATTCGAAAAATATCGATAAATATCGCTTAGAAACTCTGATAATTATCGATAGAAACAACAAAAACATGCATAGGTCGAGAGTAGTTTACTTTTTCTCCGCGAAACTGAACAAAATACATTATGAAAGATCTTGACTTGGGCCTTGGTATTCACACATGTTTTTAAGCCACATTTCAGTCCTGAGAACATCATAAGAATCGGAGCAAAAACAACAGAGTTATCTAAGAAGGATTCTTCTCAAAAGTTGAAGCTGAGGCAAAAAGAAGAGAAGCTACATAACTTCTCAAAGGCAATTCGATGCTGTGCTTAGGGTAACTCCTAGTCGTTCACTACCCACTAGATCACTTTTACTCGCTTTTAATTGTTGTCGGGCTCGTGGATCAGCTCCAAATATCGTTCAATATCGTCGATTATGCAATAACAATTTGTTATCACACAACTTGCGGACCCACAATTCAATTTTCAGACATCGTCTGGACGTATTAGCATAAAAAAAAGGTGTTGGGTGGGATGAAAAAAGAAAAAAACAAAAACGAGTAAAGTCAGGTGAAATAATTGGCAACTGAAATTAACACCTCGCTCACATACTTTTTACGCCCAGAGACACACGCATCAGCATGTGGGCGTGGCCCGTGAGCAAACGGTGGCAACTTTCACTTGACAATCGTGCGATATTCGAATTATAAACAATAAACCCAACAACAACAACAACAACAACAAAAGCACACACAAATAAATGGGCAATGTCGAGAAGGCGTCAACAGATCTCGTCACAAAATTTGGCTTGGAATTTTGTTGTTGTCGCAATATTTGTGCCATATTTCTGTTGTTTCTCTCAAGGTCAGATATGCGCGCAAAAATAAATATAAATAAACATAGCCAATGTGAACGATGTCAAAATGTGTCGCAAAATGGGTTTTGGCAAATTTTGAGAATATGCAAATTGAGTATTACACAGGCAATTGCCAAAGCTGCCGCTCTTAGCTGTAAATTGCTTAAACAACACTAAAAAAGTGTCAATTGTTATGCATATATTTAACTTTAAAATACTCATTTTTGAAACAGTTGCAAAAACTCGATATTCAAATTTAACTGACAGCAGACGCTGTCAGCCATAGCAGTCAGCTTTGTTGCGTTAACACGTCAGCTTACTGACAAAAGCTACACGATACAAATAGACTCAAGCGCGCAGCTAACTTCAAGTGCGTAAAATATGCGCGCTGTAAGTGCGCTCCCTTATTTAAATTCAACTAACAAATGTAGTGAGTAAATGAAATGTTATAAGAATAAAAACCCTAGAATGTAACAAATATTATGATTTTGGTATATAAACATATAATAACAGTGTCTTATGTTTTGCCAACCCACAGATCCATCGTGCTGTTATACTCAAAATGGAATGTAAAAGAGAATGCCGACTGCTCTTTAACTGTATCCAGCATAAAACAGCTAGAACCGACGTAACAAGAAATGAATATCACAGCATATTACCACATCCCAATAATGAACATATGTGAGAACGAGAAAAAGGTAATACCCTTATAGTTACACAATTGTTTTCAAAAAAAATGTGCATAATTGGTCACCTCACAAATATCGTAGCTGCATATCGATACTTAACAGCATGCATAACATAACATAACAGCTTACATTGACATAACATAACATTAACAGAGCAGTCACGCTGGCCAAACAACAGCCAGTTGGCACCCGTCCCGTTCTCTAGTTAGAGGCTGCAAAAACTATCGATAGGTATTCACGCCGCGCGTTCGCATTAATATTATTGTAAAATAAATAAATAAAGTGTATTAACCATGTGTAAAGTGTAAATAAATGTGTGCGTAAGACGCGTGTACTAAAACCCAACACGTAAGCGAAGTGCGCGCAGACAACAGCGTCGGCAGCAACAACAAAATCTCTGGCGCTGCTTGCGCCCACACCAATAGCAGCAGCAGCAGCACAAGCAACAACAACAAAAAGACCGAATCG